GGTTCAGCATGCGTTCGATCGCGGACATGCGTTTGTTGAGCTCGTGAATCTAGAGGAAGGAGAGAGAAAAGGAGTAGAGAACAGACCAGCCGCCGCCACCAGGACAGCAAGAATAAAGCCCAGGGCATGTGCAACCGGCAGAAGAAACTAAACAGCGAGGCCCCACCACCACCACCACCGGCTCAGCACAACTCTGGCAGAAAGTCACAGCAGGCAAGGCAGAGAGCAGACAGGTTTACCCACAAAACAGAGGGCAATGCAGAGGCCCGGTACGCGCAACGAGCTTGAGTTAATTCCAGAGTTGGAGGCAGCACAAGAAAAAGCTCTGCCTTGAGGCAGAGCTGGAAATCTCCTTGGCCCAACGGTGCCTTGCTAACAGGACTATTGGTCTGAACGTGGCTCCAGCCCTGAGATCACACTCCTCTGCATGATGCAGACCTGTCAAAGCAAGCCTTAGGTGTACGAGTTGTGTTGACTATCAGTGGGTGAAGGCCTGTTTAAAAAAAAAAAAAAAAGATGTGGCTTCAAAAAATGGTCCTGTTCTAAGGGGAGCCCTGGACACCTAGAAGAGCTCCAAGAGGTGCACAGCCTCTCCTCAAATCTGGAAAACTCAACAGGACGCCAATCCCTTGGCGCACTGCTCTTCCCACCAAAGCAGCCAAGGCTTTGATGCAGTGACCATAAACCCAGGCCTCCAGCCCTGTAGTCAGTCCCTTGTCCAGACAAAGACATCAAACTGTAACAAGGCCGTCTCGCGATCCTTCACACACCGCACCAAATTCAAGACAAGGGCAGTTTTCACTTAATACAAACACATTTTTCAACTGGTTACTACCCCGTCATCCTTTCCTGTGAACACAACAGTGGAAAAGAGGAGGAGAGAGGGTAAGAATTTTTCCCACTGAAAATTACAAATAGGTGAACGAAAGCTGAAAGTTTTCCCCCCAGTGCACTTTCAAATTTTCTGACTTCTCAATGCATTCAAATGGGGAGAAGGGAAGGAACGACCAACTCCTGAAAATCAAAGCGAAGTTGCTTCCTGTGCTCAAGAGCCAAGGAAAACTTCTGTGGTTAAATCACTGAAAAATATTGCAGGAGACCTCTTTTTCTCTCTCTCTCTCTCTCTCTTTTTTTTTAAGAAGCTTTTTTCCAAAAGAGGTCTTTTTCGTGTGGTTCAAGCAAATGAAATACAAATGATGAAGAACATTGTGCGTTTCACACAGAAAAAAAACGCTGGCTTCCTCATCACGCCTGTTCTCAGCGGACGCCTCCCATTCACTGGAGAGCGGGCAGCAAACGCAATAAGCAGGCACAATAACAAAGAGACGCGAGGGCTTTGCTTTGTTTTTATAACATTTCCGCCCTTCTCGCTGAATTTTTGCGCTTGCTAGTGTTTGATTAATTAGACCCTCACAACAGCTCGGAGAGGTTGCGCCTGCTTAAGGGAAGATGAACGTAAAAACCTGACACTGCGGAGAGCAGAGCACTGTCATTACCATCCCAAATTGAATGCATCTTTAGCAGCATTAAAACCCGCAGGCGGGAAGTAATCCAATACATCTGCGAGTGGTTTCTCAGCGCTGCCGGGCCTGACTCTTGCAAAGCTCTGCTTACAATGAGAAGTCAGCGATGGGCCACCAGCTTGGGAGACGGCAACGAACCGAGCCCCCGCGCTACCCTGCCTCCGTCACGCAGCGCGTCAGGGAGGCCTTTTCCCATTCTCCTGCCCGAGCAAGGCTTGTTTCAATGCATCGTGCTCGCCGGGCAGAGCAAAGTGAAGCCAGTCCCCCTGCAAGGCCCCCGTACCCATCGGTCAGCCCCCCGGGGCCAGGTTCAGACGCCGGGTCCCACTGCTCGGCTCCGAGCTATTTCTGCAGTAAGGCTCTTACAGCGGCCCAAGCCAGGCAGGCAGCGAGGGCAATTACGTTAGCGCTTCAGCTTCCCCCAGCTTTTCTGAACTTTGTCCGTGCGGCGGCGCGGCGAGAGCCATGCAAGGCACTTCCTCCATCAATCCCCATTAGGGGCTGGACCGCCCTGCTGTGCTCTCCCCATGACGAAGGCTGGCAGACACCGCTCCGCATCCAAATGTCTGAAGCGAGGCAACGCGAACAAAAACACAGCCCCTAAGCTGGCCGTCCGTTAGCGCAAACTGCCGTCTGCTTGCGGGGAGGGAGGACAGGTTACCCTAGCAGAGGTGCTGCCTCCGGACTCTCAAATACCCAAGACCCCTAAGTTTGTGTGAAGGAGAGGAGCCAGATGGCAGGGAACGGAGGAAAAAGCAGCCTGAGATGGCCAAAGCTTTGGAAATGCAGAACCGCTAAGCTCCCTTGAGGTACGGTAGAATATGAACGACTTTTGGAGAGAAACTCAGTCAGTAAATTGGTGCTGTTCCCTACGGCTTGGTCCTGTTCCTGCTGCAGCCAAAGACTTGGGCTTCAAGAGATTTGGGCCTCTGCTGAAATCGCATGGTTTTTTTGTGTGACTGCAGTGTTCCCACCTCCTTGGGCTTCTTCACTAGTCTCATCAGCTTTGAGAGCTTTTTCTTTTTCCAAATAGGCTTTTTTTTTTTTTTTAAATAGTTTTCATACCTTCAGCTCCTGGAGTCACAGGGCCAGGGAACAGTCTCTGTTTTTGTTACCGGAAAGGGTAAGTTTCTTGTGTTCAGGATTGAAAACTGTGCCCTCCCCAAGGTTAAAGCAAAACCAAAAGAAACCCAGTGAGGGAAAAAGGATCATGGTGGTTTTCATTTCAGATTCATGTTCCGAGCATCCTGCAGCTAAGGCACAGTTTTAGAAAAGAGGGTTTTCATCTGCGGGGTCAAAATGATACAGGGCGGAGAGATGAGTTCTCCATCTCTTAAAACCTTCAGATTTCTACAAGGTTACCTTTCAGGAAAAAAGTGCTTTGGGAGACAGGCCATGGGATTCATAAGAAGCAGGTGTGCCCCCGAGTAGCTCAGGAGAACCCAGTCCACCGCTCGCTGTCCTGAACCCTCCCTGGCCTGTCTCTGCCCCACTGCAAGGCTCAGCCCCTCCATCCTGGGGACGAGAGGAAGAAAACCAACCTCTTCCGAATCCCTTTCAGCTCTGCCACCACGAAAGAGCTGGCTAGCACTGAAACCCATGTTTTCGCGTCTGCTGCAGAAGAGTGATTTCACTCCGAGTTTTAAAAGATGTTCTCGCTTTCTCTCTCCTTTGGGCTGGTACCTGGCCGCTCCTCGGCCAAGGGCGGCACTGCTGCGCGTGTTGGCTCGAAAGTTAATGGGCCAGCGCGGGGCCTGATTTGTTCCGCTGGGCGAGGGGAAGGCAGTGCGGGAAGGCGGTTGCTAGCTGTAAAGACATCAGCAGCATAAAGGGCAGGAAGGATGAAGAGCTATTTAAGGTAATGAACGATGTTGGCATGAGAACAAATGGGGTTAAATTGGGAATTAGAAGATGTCTCGTAGCCATTAGGGTGGCAAAGGTTCCACGACAGCCTTCAGACAGGTGA